GAAATTCAAATGAGCCATTGGAGGGGATAAGTACAGCTGTGGTGCTGGGAATGGCTCACAAATCAATCAGCCCAGGTGTGAACAGAATTTCCAGGTTGGTTTCCTACATATTTTATTTTTGCGGGTTTCTTTGAAATTGAAATCTCTCCATTTGTAGCACCCTCACCCTTGAGCTTTCCGTCTCCTCTGAACATCTTCCTGATCCCCACAGCTCCTTTATTCCTGTTTTCTGTCCTCCCTCAATGTGTTCCTCCAAGGCACCATGGCCCATCCAGCCGCCCCTCATGCCACTGGTTTTTGTCCCCAGCGTGGCCACCATGGGCAGAAGCTGGGTCCCCAGAGCTCCTTCACCAGCACTACAGACACGTCAGCCCCCATGTCTTGCACCTCCCACCTGAGCAGGGGCTGCAGGCCCTGCTTACAGGGCAGCTCAACCCAAAATGAAGTCGTGGTGTGCCCATACCTTCAGAGGAGCCCCCTTCTGCAGAGCTCATGGTCGGTGTGATATTTTACCGCTTCTAATGTGATTATGTTCCCATCAGTAAGCACTACACTTGAATGCATTTTTCTGTGGAAGATGTATAGACAGCACCATACACACTTGCTGAGGCCTTTCCTTAAGTACAAAAAAAATGCAAACTGGGAAGCCTCAGAAGCATCCTGACTTGGTAATACTCACATATGAGAACAAACAAATGTGGATTTTTTGGATGATATCCAGCTGAAACATCCCATCAGTTGGTGGTTTCCTATTGAATGATGAGACATTGTAACAAAGGAATTTTAGTAGCACTATTTAAGGGGGGAAATATGAGAAGCAGAGGGAATGGACGCACCCAGAGGCTGCATAGCAGACAGCAACGGAGGCACTCCTGCCCCTTGTTGTGCTCACCTCCCACTGCAGGGAACCCCAAAAACCCACTGGGGGATGCACCGGGGGGCAGAGCCTGCCCATTGTGACCCACAGTCACAATGAGGTGCTTTGCAGTGAGCACTTAGTGGACAGGGACCAGCCCCAATTACCTTCCCAAGGCAGCGCTGGAAGTGAAGGGGTTAAACGTGTGGCTCTCTGCAATTACATTTTGCTTCGGGAAAGTTAGATTTTCGAGATACTCATTAAAAGACGAATTCAGCCAGTGTCCTTGAGACAGTTAATGAGATATGCTAATTCAAAATAAATAGGTCTGGTATGAATTCTTGATAAGAAAACATCTGCTTGGATCAGTTGCTCGCTTTCAGGGGAGGTAACTGGGTCTGAAGACAGTGAGATGCGATAAGGATCATGCAGCCGTCTTGAAGGCAACATTTTAAAAGGACTAATTGGTTTTTAAGTTGGCCCTGGAAGAAATTTCTTTGTCAGACTTCTTTCAGAAGTAGAGAATGAAAACCAGGCCTGTGGCCAGGAAGCCACCAAGAGGAGTAAAAAAGCCTCAATGGCCATCAGAGCCATCAGGGAGCAATGCTGGCCTTGGCACTGCATTTTTCCCAGACAGCTTTACTTATTGGGCAAAAATAATGTTGTTTGTTTGTTTGTTTGTTTTCACCACTACAAGGAATGACAGTGAGCAGCACCTGCATTCACCATGTGGCAGTGTGGGTGGCAAATGGTGCACTCCTGACCTTGGCAGGTGAAGCAGAATGGCTTCGTGATCACAGAATCACAGAATCACAGAATTTCTAGGTTGGAAGAGACCTCAAGATCATCGACTCCAACCTCTGACCTAACACTAACAGTCCCCACTAAACCATATCCCTAAGCTCTACATCTAAACGTCTTTTGAAGACTTCCAGGGATGGTGACTCCACCACCTCCCTGGGCAGCCTGTTCCAATGCCTCACAACCCTTTCAGTAAAGAAATTCTTCCTAACATCTAACCTAAAACTCCCCTGGCACAACTTAAGCCCATTCCCCCTCGTCCTGTCACCAGGCACGTGGGAGAACAGGCCAACCCCCACCTCGCTACAGCCTCCTTTAAGGTACCTGTAAAGAGCAATAAGGGCGCCCCGAGCCTCCTTTTCTCCAGGCTGAACAAGCCCAGCTCCCTCAGCCGCTCCTCATAGGATTTGTTCTCCAGGTCCCTCACCAGCTTCGTCGCCCTTCTCTGGACTCGCTCGAGTACCTCCATGTCCTTCTTGTAGCGAGGGGCCCAAAACTGAACACAGTACTCGAGGTGCGGCCTCACCAGAGCCGAGTACAGGGGGACGATCACCTCCCTAGATCTGCTGGTCACACTGTTTCTGATACAAGCCAGGATGCCGTTGGCCTTCTTGGCCACCTGAGCACACTGCTGGCTCATATTCAGCCGACTGTCCACCATCACTCTCAGGTCCTTCTCTGCCAGGCAGCTCTTCAACCACTCATCTCCCAGCCTGTAGCTCTGCTTGGGGTTACTGCGCCCCAGGTGCAGGACCCGGCACTTGGCCTTGTTGAACTTCATACAGTTGACCTCAGCCCATTGGTCCAGCCTATCCAGATCCTCCTGCAGAGCCTTCCTACCCTTGAGCAGATCAACACACACACCTAACTCGGTGTCATCTGCAAACTTACTGAGGGTGCGCTCAATGCCCTCGTCCAGATCATCGATGAAGATATTAAAGAGGACCGGCCCCAGCACCGAGCCCTCGGGAACACCACTAGTAACTGGCCTCCAACTGGATTTGACTCCATTTACCACGACTCTTTGGGCCCAGCTACCCAGCCAGTTTCTAACCCAACGAAGCATGCTCCAGTCCAAGCCACGAGCAGCCAGTTTCTTGAGGAGAATGCTGTGGGAAACGGTGTCAAAAGCCTTGCTGAAGTCAAGGTAGACCATATCCACAGCCTTTCCCTCAACCACCCAGCGCATCACTTTGTCATAGAAGGAGATCAGGTTCGTCAAGCAGGATCTGCCTTCCATAAACCCATGCTGACTGGGCCTGATCGCCTGCTTGCCCTGCAAGTGCCACATGATGACTCCCAAGAGGATCTGCTCCATGAGCTTCCCTGGCACTGAGGTCAAACTGACAGGCCTATAGTTCCCCGGGTCTGCCCTCCGGCCCTTCTTGTAGATGGGCGTCACGTTTGCTAGCTGCCAGTCAACTGGGACCTCCCCCGATAGCCAGGACTGCTGATAAAGGATGGATAGTGGCTTGGCCAGCTCCTCTGCCAGTTCTCTCAGTACCCTTGGGTGGATCCCATCCGGCCCCATCGACTTGCGCACATCCAAGTGCCGTAGCAGGTCACCAACAAGTTCTTCATGGATAGTGAGGGCCACATCCTGCTCCCTATCCCCTTCCACCAGCTCAGGGTACTGGGTATCCAGAGAACAACCGGTATTGCTGCTAAAGACTGAGGCGAAGAAGGCATTAAGCACCTCCACCTTTTCCTCATCTCTTTTAACTAAGTTTCCCCCCGCATCCAGTAAAGGATGGAGATTCTCCTTAGTCCTCCTTTTTGTGTTGATGTATTTATAAAAACATTTTTTGTTATCTTTAACGGCAGTAGCCAGATTGAGCTCCAGATGAGCTTTGGCCTTTCTAATTTTGTCCCTGCACAGCCTTGCAAGATCCTTATAGCCCTTCCTACTGGCCTGCCCTCTTTTCCAAAGATTATAAACCCTCTTTTTTCTCCTAAGCTCAAGCCACAATTCTCTGTTCAGCCAGGCTGGTCTTCTTCCCCGCCAGCTCGTCTTTGGGCACGTGGGGACAGACCGTTCCTGTGCCATTAAGATTTCCCTCTTGAAGAGCTCCCAGCCTTCCTGGACTCCTCTGCCCTTCAGAACCGCCTCCCAAGGGACTCTACCAACCAGTGTCCTCAGCAGCACAAAGTCAGCCCTCCGGAAGTCCAATACAGCGGTTTTACTGGTCCCCTTCCCTTCCTGTGATGCAGATGGACACATGGATTTGGGACCCAGAGCTGCTGCGGATTGTATTCTTGGCATTTTTTTTTGCCTTCAGTCAGATCAATGTGCTGTTATACTTTTACATAGATGTTCCTGCACCATCCTTTACAAAGCAGCAGAAGTTTAAAGTAAACTTCTTGAGGAGTTTAGAGATGTTACACATTCAGAGGTTACAGGTACTTTAACCTCTGAATTTAACCTACCTGTAACCTTCAGAGGTTACAGGTAGCCTTTCAAAGTTTTCAGATCCAGCCATTTGAATTTTTTATTTAACTCTATGCACCATATGCTGCTATAGATTTTAATTGTACAGAACATTCCCAGGCAGTGTCAAAAACCTACTGAATTTCTGTATTTAATTCCCTGTACTTAATATTGCAAAATGAGGATTTTCATTGGGTGGTAATCCTGCCCAAAAGGATGGGCCAGGGTGTTTGGGGACATGGCAGTGCTCACAGCTCCCTGTGACCGAAGCTTCAAATCTACTTTACTCCCATTTTTAAGGTAGAGTTTGGCACCTATGTTTATTTGTGACAATAAAGTGAGAGTTTTATAGCAAACAGTAGGCACGGATGTACACTTGGTTAGTTGTGCTTATGGAAGATGATTGCCTCCTTCTCAGTTATTGCTTGCTGCTGCAGATGGCTTCTGGACTTCATGAATAAATAACACAGGTTCTGTTACCCTGAATATTTTGTTCAAATGCTGTAAGTACCAATACACAGCATATGAAATTTAAGTAGAACTGGCACAAAATATCCTATATAATTAATGAGCCCCAAAACCATAATGCTGGTTTGAAACGCTATACATTGCGTAAAATGGGAACAAGAAGACACTGCATTTGCATACATCTATAAGATTTGGAACCAGGGCCCAATTTCAAATTATTATTACCAGGTATTAACAAAGCTGTCATTCAGCCACTTGCCTTTTATTAAAAAAATAAAGTAAAAAAAAAAAAAAATCATAATAATATCTCCAGCTGGTATAAATCAGTAAAACTTTAAAAGCTTCATCATATGTACCATTTATAGATGTACTCTATCCCTATAAATACATCTCACTCATCAACTGCATGTGCTCAAAGGAAAAAAAAGCAACAAAAACACTTCACACTTTTTTAAGTTATCAAAGGCTGAACTTTACTGCATAAGGGACAACAAAAGTCAACTTACACTGTGATTGCTGACCAACTCAGCACAGAAGGAAAATCCATCCTGCATTACTCTTTTTTGCATTGTATAAATTGTTTTCTGTCTTTAATGGGGGGGTTAATAGTCAGTCATTGATGTTTACATACTTAGCAATTAGTCTATTTTACAACCTCCGGAGTCACTTGGAGCAATGTCCTTGTCATAATAACTTTTAACTGCTGCAGCCAGGAAGCAAAGGAGGGGGAGATGGTGTGCGAGGGGCCAGGGTGGCTGTGGGAAGGTGAAGAAGTAAAGCTGAACATCCTGAAGTGTGAGCAAAATGCCCTCCTCTCCCTTTGGTTCCTAAACCGAGGATTTCCAAACCACTCCAGGTTGCTCTGCACGGTAATTGTGCTGAACTCAGAAGTCAGGTGAGGGCTTTCCACATTATTTCTGGGTGAGTGATCCAGAATCGCTAATCCTGCAGGTACCTGTGACATGTGGCTGCTTGGCAAATCCTGCTGGTGTCTGTGATGACATAATAAACTGACATTTTTATGTATGTTTTATGTCTTCTTCTGATGCATCTGGTGGATATGATTTTTCCTTTTTGCCATAATCAGTCAATCAGAGAACGGGTACCTTTCCACAGGCAGGAATAACGCACTGGCACTGCTGGACTGCAATATATTAAAATTTAAATTACCCTCTAGTCTGCTGTACAAATCATATTAACTGGTCCTAAATACACACAAAAAAAGGCAGTACAATAAAACTCACAGTATGATAAATCACTGAGCCTCTTCCATATGTCAGAAAGAAAAGATTGGATAAAGGGCTTGAGTTTACTTACTGAATGTTTATAAATGCTAAGACTTTTTTATTTTTTTTTCTCCTCGGAAAAACAGTATAATATTCTAAATTAAGAACACATTCCTCTTTGACATTTCATTTGGCAGCTCTAACCACAGCCTGGGTGGAAATCAATTTGTAGCAGCTATGAATTGCTATTTAATTTGGGGGCATGCACAGCTTAATTGAGAAAGCATGTTAGAAGTCGACAAGGCAGAGTCGCATCCAGTAACTTAAGTTTCCCGTGGCTAGCCCATGGTAATCCCAGGATCAACCTGTAACACCTTTATTTCAGTAATTAAGTGCACAGTACCAGCAGAGACTAATTGTGTTCACAGGGCAAGCCCCCATTGCAGCAAGCTGCGGGGCTACAGGTGTGAGCTCCACTCTGCACCAGCCCCAGAGAGATGCTGCAGATTTCGTCACTTCCCTGGGTACTGGCATCTCTGAAAGGAGGTGCATGCTTCACTACATAAACGTTATTCTGGTCCCATTGCCTGGATCCTTCCTATTCTGATCATTTCAGTAAATGTGTATAGAAGATGAAATCATTCTCCAGTGGTTTTGTTTAAGCTTACCCATTTACGTGGAAAAAATGGTGACCTCTGTATGTGTAGTTTTATTACAGTTTACTAGCAAGTAGTTTGCTAGTTTACTAGCAAATATATGCCTAGTATATAGGCAAATAGTTTGCTAGTTTACTAGCAAATATATGCCTACATAGGGCACCATTCTGTTTGTTTTTTTCTGTTTTTTGTTTTTTTTTTTTTTACTTGTTGCCAAGCTGTGATTTCCAAGCCAGCCTCACCTGAAAATATACTTTGCAATGTTCCTGGCCTTAAAGACCATCAAACCCTAATTCCACTGAGTTTTTTTGGAAAGTGTTTAAACATCAGCAGCAGTGGCTTTGCTTTTGGGCAGGTACCCCAGAAACTCTCAGGAGATGGCTATGGCTGTGGGATGACCCACAGTAAACAAGTAGCTTCCAAGTACCTGCATTTCCACGTACCTCTCTGGATCCTGTTAAATTGTTTGTGTCAGATGAAAACAAGGCTGATGAATGCAGTCCCAGGACAAACTCTTGGGTTTTGGAATGGGCCAGGCAGTATGACGTGTCAGGTATTTTCCCAAAGGCTCTCCAGTTCAACATGATCTCTCCTCTGTCATATTCCTGCTCTTTCACGTGCTCAGCATATTTTCAAGGTATTTGTTGCAAATGCATCTTAAACTCATCTTGCTATGTTGAGCTGCTTTACTGTAACCACACTCAGCTCTAGCGCATCACTTCATTAAGGAGCAAAGTAATTAACAGATTTCCCAGTGTTTCGCAGGAGAGTTGATGCATAGCCATCCCTCACACATGGCATGCAGCTCAGGGTTATGGGAAAATTGCAAAAAGCTGGCAGGGCAGCAGCCAGATTGGCATCATTAGCACAGTTTATTTTTTTTTCAAAGTTTGAGTTAACAAACCACAATGCAGCAGCACACACACACAAAAAAAAAGGCTTGTGGCTTGAACCCTGCCAGATGGAATATGGAGACAGCTCAGGAGAACTTGCCAAAAAAATGTGTGTGCATGCACATGTGTGCAGAAACCCTTTATAAAATCAAGCGGTCTCTTGAAATTCCTCCACTTTGAGCAGTTTCAAATCAAATGTGCTTTCATTTGCCAACACGAAGAGAAAGTTATCAGCAGATATATTCACATACACATCAGTTCTGTGTAGCTACTTTTACAAACTCTTTCCTGTACATGTAATGCACATTTCTGCTTCTGAGCTGATCCCGGTTTTGACATACGTATTCATAATTGTACTGTCTGACAAGGGCACAGGTAAATGCTTTCATGTCAATATATTAGCTTCAGGCCTTCCACGTTGGCTAATTGCCTGTACTCTGTAGTTGGTCAGCTAGTCATAGGACACTGCTTCCATTTTAATTGCATCAGTACGACTTTTTAGAATAGAAAAAAAAAAATAATTCATTCAAATAAATACTAATTTGTGAAAGACCAGTAAACTCCTCACACAAATATTAGTGAATTGTGAAGCAAACCCTCCAGGTCCTCCTGTAACAGACCCAAACCTCAGCCTCAGTGTGCAGCTATCAGCAAAACTCAGGTGACTTGAAGGCAGTTATAGCAGTGTACACAAGCCAAGAGGGACTGAACTTTTGTTTCCTCATGTCTCCATTGTATTCTCCCATTGTCACATGCCTTTTTACCTTGAATATGTGTATTAATTAACTATAATTAAGCTAATTGCATCATCACTGTTCTATTCACACTTAGAATGGTATTGAAAAGGTTCAGCTCCTTTGGATTTTTGCTAATGAAGCTAGTTCATGTAATGAGCCAAGTAATATTGCCAGGTCTGGAATCAGGATTTTTTTTTGAACAGATTTAGAAAATTGGTCATCTCTTGGAACTGAACAAAGGTGAAAATCTCCATAGTTTGCAAAAACTGGTGTATACCTAAGTAGATATCTAATACAATGCTGAAAGGGAACACATGAAAAATGTACATTAGAGCAGGTAACAACAGAAACAAATGACAAAAATCACAATAATAATAAAAGACTTTTTCCAAGGGATTACATTTTAACAAGCACTGGTAATAACCTACAATTTCATTTGGCCGTAGATGTGTGAATCAACTATTTTTAACAGGTATAAAGCCTGCACAGGCTGTAAGTTAAACCCTTGGCTATATTTGCTTTAAATGGGCTGGGTGGGCAGGAGGCAGTGCTAGGCTCTCGTTCGACTCTGCTCTTGGTGTCCATTGGAAGTCAGTTTGGGCTTCATTGCAGGGAGCATCTTCTGGCCTGTTCTGAGGTGCTTTTGCCCCAGAAAATCATGCCACAACTATGCGGTTATGCTGTAATTGCTACCCCAACAACTGAAGTACAAAAGGGAGCATTTAGAGCTCACTGTATTGGCTCAGGATTACCAGCTAGCAAAAGTATCCCCGACTGTTGGGTTGGAGCAGTCTGGGAGCTGCAGAAATGAGCCTTAGCAAGAACCATTCCCCTTTAGTCCATAAATAATTATATACAAGCCTCTTAATGACTTCCATTCCTGTTTATGTTATTAAGTGGTGCAGTGTTACAAAAGGGGTCCTATACTGTGCTGCAGTTCTGCTCGGTGCTTACTCAGTGCTTATCCCCCTCACACTCTCAGATATGGATTAAGCAGACCTGTGGATGTTTCTGCAGAGCACAGCTTCAGCAAAACCAGCAGTGAATTAATCACTGCAGCAATGTAATGTAGCTCAGCACAACTGTATTATATCATTGCATTCTTGTGCTGTAGTTAAGGCCCGTCAGCAATTTCATTACCAAGTCATATTTTTGGCTGTTTGTAACTTTTACAAAAATAATAAAAGAATTTATATTGGAGGCTTAATCTTTACCGTATCTTTTTTTTTTTTTTTTTTTTTTTTCCTGGCTGGGAAATGTAATGATGTGTATTCTATGTGGGCATGTCAGTACAAGTCATTTCTTCATCTACTTGAAGAAGTGCTGACTTCTGATCCTTATATTTTCCTGTTATTTATTGCCATTCTTAAATATATTCTAATAAAGTTGCAATTTATTGCAAAACTTTCATGGTGACCCAGTAGTATTAACACAAAATCACGTTATAGAGGAACTCAGTAAAGCTGGGAAATCAGAGTGCATTTTTGTCTGGGATAGAGGTGATACTAAGCTGATGATTATTGATGAAGACTTTCCCATTGACTTCACAGATGAGGTATGTAACATAGCAGCCTTAAGCATCATTAAGGAAAGTTTTGTCGTGCCAATAAATAAGAAGGATCTCATCCCTCTGCACAAAAAATGAAATGTAAATCTAGAGTAATCATGGGAAGAACTTTGAAGCTTTTAGCATCTAAATTGATTAAGAGCCCTGCTTTCCGTTTGCTTTCTATGCAAAATAATTGTTATTACCTATTATGTGTTATGGCACAAATTCTGTGATGAATTGCAAGCCTAGAAATCCAAAAATAATGTAACGAATCTTGGTGGACTGCTTTTGACTCACTCTGGTTTAACTGGGAGCAGTTTGGCCACTCTGCCTTGAAGATTTAGGAGCACAAGGTGTATTTCATGTGCCACTTGAGATTACAAAACTCAAATCAATTCACAACCTGTGCACCATGACAAAATCCATCTATATATTGTTTTCTAAACAAAGGAGTGCTTTTAAAGGTAGCAATTACAGGTAATTGAATCTCTAATGGTGATATGTAGGTCGATTATAAAGCCCTTCCCTAAGAACTAAGCAGAAACACATGGAATAGCTTGCTTTTTCTTTATTTTCTAACATCTTTGTTTATTTATTCTGAGATTTCTACACCTGCTGAAGCTGACTCCATAATGGCTTATTCTAATGCAACACTGATGGGAAAGTTTATTAATGGTTACTTAATTAGAGAGTGCCCCAAAGTTCATTATTAATATAAGAAACTAGGATAATTGGATTAAATGTTAAATACTGAATTTATGCTTCACAGTATCTAAACACGCAAAATCTGCTCAAGGCCAGAAGCTCTTCATAGCACAAGTTCAGCACATTTCTAAGAGAATATTTGTTACCGAAGCAACTTCCAAGCCTAGGTCACCTCCTTCAATGAGTTTCATTAGCTGGCACAGCTTTAGCTGCAGCCTGCTCTCAGATCTCTATATAAAGACCCCTCCAAAAAGGAGACTTTTCAACAACAATAAACACAGCAGCAGGTTAGCAGGAGAAAACCTGCAGCAACATCAGTTTGTGCTAAAGCATCCATTCTGATTAGTTGCTGGCCAGGAGCCCCAAGCTATTTTTCCATTTTAGCAAAACTTTTCCAATTAATATTCTTTCTATCATTACTGTACGAACAAGGGCAAGTATCTCACCGGTTTATTCCTCAGACTTCTGTCACCAGGTTTATCATGGACAGTTTAGCATGGCTTTGCTGTTTGGCTTTTTTAGAGCTGCTCCTCTTCATCACATCATACAGCTGGCTGGACTCCAGCAGGTGACCAAGAGGGAGCTGAGACCTGCCTGGTATCAGCACAGATGATGCTTGAAGAAAAAGTATAATTTAACAATGTTCTCCATTGTCTCCATGCTCCTATTAAACACTTGATGCTCTATGATCCTGGCAGAGTGTGCCTGTTTCCCATACCCGCAGTGAGGCTGTGTGGAAAATCTGGGGAACCTGTCCTCAAAGTGAAAACGTTTTGTTCTGTTGTGAGGACTCCCTACATGCCTCCTTACCAGTCTCCCAACTCCAACATGAAAGTGCTCATGAAAGTAGTTTTTCTGATAGTTTTAAGCACTTTCCCTGCCATATTCTTACCCCCATGGCGGGATATTTTTACCCCCATGGATATTTTACCATGGATGGTGTCTCCCATGGGCACATGGAGGTTGCCCATGCTGGAGGTACACAGCTAACCACACCAATCGCGAGGCTGTGCTTTCAAACACAACCTGAGCAGGCAGGCCCCCTCTGGGAGTCCCCATCAAGCCATACAGCAAGGCAAGAGTATAGGCAGGAGCAAACGGTTGATATTTACTCTTGGACATTTTCAGCAGCTTGCCTGAGGATCCTGGAAGAAGCCATCTTCATCAGCACCACCAAAGCAGGTCCCCGAATACTGCCGCAGGGCCCTGGGGATGGTCTGACCACGTACACCAGCCTCGAGGGAAACCCTGGACGTAGCCTCCTGCTCCCACCGCCTCCCCGTGCAGGAGCATCTCCAGCCACGACACCCACGGTGGTCAGGCAGAGCCCCAGAAGCGCTAAGAGGGAGCAGTCCTACCGGTGTCACCAGACCTGTGTTCTGTCCCAAACTGGGGTCTGGAGGGGCCAAAGGAACAGCAGCCTCAGGCAGTTTTACTGGGGCTCAGTACTCAGCCCACCTGGCAGTCAGGGTGTCACAGAATGGCTCAGGTTGGAAGGGACCTCAAAGATCACCTGGTTCCAACCCACTACCATGAGCAGGGACACCTCCCACTAGATCAGGTTGCCCAGGGCCCCATCCAACCTGATCACAGCGTCTCTGGGCAGACTGTCCATTGCCTCACCACCCTCGGGGTGAAAATTTCTTCCTAACATTTCATCTAAATCTCCCCTCTTTTAGTCCTGTTTAAGGAAATCACTAAAACTGTTTGCCCAGATCAGAAAAATGTCACTTTGACAGCAGCTGCACACAGAGACAACTTCCATGTTACTGTTACTGAATAAAACCACTTGAATGCCACAGTAAAGTTGCAGGAAACGATCATAGCTTAACGTTGGCAAGCGGGGCTATCCTGTCATTTTGTGGAGATGAAGATCTATACGAGTATATCTTATCTCGAGAAAGGATGAACAGGCACCCACTGTGTTGGCAGCCCTGTACATTTTCTGGACTACTTTTTACCTGCATAACTAATGCAGACCCTAATTCCCAGTGCTCTCAGATTTTCTTCAAAGCAGTGAGTGCTTTATGCTAGTGAGCAGCATGTAGCAGTCAGGCAAATGTCCTAGTAGGAAAAATGCAAGTTCTTTGTCTGTGCTGGAGAAACTTAATTTCCCATACCTTATAAATGGTTCTTTTACTTTATTCATGCCCAGAGGTGGAAATAGTTTTAATACACCATAACTAAAAATCTCTCCTCACTCTGAAAATGCTTCATATATAGACATGTATATATGATACAGCTCCCATCCAAATAACACTGTTTACTGGCTTGAATTAATTCCCTTTTGAACCCATTTATTATTTTTTGTCAGCACAATAACCCCCTGGGGTCAATCAGATCTGCAATTTCATTACCTGTTGGGGAGAACGGCCCCTTCTTGTAAAAACTGTTGCCTAATGTTTTCATTGGGAAATGTATTTCTCCAGCTAGAGTTCTCTTAAAATCTCTGCTTTACAGACAGCAAACAATTCATTACTCACAATTCACTTCCATAGTTTTGTTGGCTCCTGTTACATCCTACCTGCAGCCATCCCTTTTCCATTTCAGAAAGCTCTAGTCCAGTCAGGGTTTACTACAAGCAGATGCTGTTTCATTTTTATGGTCATCCTTGTGGCCTTCTCACTGTCTTTTCTAGGTATCCTACAGCCTTATGGAGATAGGGTAAGTAGGATTACATGCAATATACATATTTATCGCTGATTTATCCAGAAATATAATACACACTTTGTTCTCTTAGTCTCAGAAACAGCAATCAAATTATTCTACATTAGAAAGGAATTACTGTGATCCTGTAGAGTTTTTGTCCCCTTCCCTCTCCTCTCCCCCTTTATTTTTTAATCTATGACTATAGGTATAGGTTTGATTATCAGATTCATCAGATGAGGAAGAGGAGCTGAGGTCCTGATGAGGAGGTCAGAAAATCATTTATGCCTACGCTGTGCAAGAAAACAAAGCTCTTCTGGTTTGTACTTCTTCAAGTCCATGTAATCTAAGCCTCACCCAGCATGCAAAACAAATCCCCACAGGGAAAAGTCCCTTCCATCCCTGTAAGGAAATCTTTGTCTTTACAATAAAATGCCTGCAGGGTTGCAGTCTGCATTGCTTGTGCTGTGCTTGAGGGAAGGCAGTTATGCATCAGTTTTCAGTACTGTCTATATGACATTTTTCATCACTATACATCTATTTATAAATAAAACAATTAATCCATAGTCTCGCAAAGACTTGAACAAAAAGTAAGCATTGGAGCAGACCTATTAGCAAGATGCGATGCTACACATCTACCATGACCACATAGCTCCAACCAGCTACCAGGATGCAGCTACCCAACTGGCCTGATTCCCTTCTTCTTGGAGTTGTCAGCCACTAGGGGAAATATAGATAGATAGATAGATAGATATACATATCTACACACACACACATTTGCACATGCACATATAGAAATAAATTAATAATAATACATTTTATTAGAATAATTTATTATTTAATAATAATATTTTTTTAAAAATCTAATGGATGAGGATTAGGACCATGCAGGTGGTGAAGAATGTCAATGCAGGTGGTCAGGATGTCAGCCCTGAGAGCACTCCATCACCTGTAAGTATTCCTGCCTGGATAGTTTCTTTCAGAACATTAAATGGTTTTCACAGTCCACACTATCCTGGATTTGCAACCTCCCAGGGAGCAGGCAGACACACATACTTCTCAGTTAGCCATTGCTTTCACAGGATTCAGCAATAATCATCCTCACCAGGGAGCATACCGGGAACAGAACAGCAGTCTGCCCAGAGGAGCCACCACAAGGACAGGCTACCCATGTCCCCAGAGAGCTTGGGGAAGGGCAGAGCACAGACCTCACCTTCCTCTCAGCTGTAATAAGTCAAGGTAAATGTGAACACAAATTCATTTAGTCACATGTAAGTTGTTAATTCATGCATAAAAGCACTGTAGTATATTAATTCAAATCAACAGTGTCAAGGCTGGTGTCAATACCCCCTACTTCTCTTTCTGAAGGGAAAGTATCAGAGCTGGTACATTTGATTTCAAATTCTATCTACAGAGCTGTATGGATTTCTGATAGCTGTGTTTTAAAACCTCAGAAAAATACTCCTTGCACTTGTTTGTCATGCTCGAACAAAATATGGTTTGAATGAGAGAAGATATGAAACCTGCCAACTAATATATTTATTGTTATAGAGAGGAAATATTAAAGATAGACATTATGAGGAGATAATATATGATAGGCATTATAAACAGAGAGAATTATAGAGAAGAGATATTGAACTCACTATTTGATGGGAAGAGGGGAACGGCATATACATGTCAGAGATGTTTTGTTAACCCCTCAGCAAACGTAGCTCTATGCTGCTCTGTCAAGCAGCAAAAATGGCAACATGTGGACCCAAGTTCTTACGAGGGTTTCACAGTCCATTAATAACACCAGAGGACTTGAAAGGGATGTTTTCCCAGTGCAAGAAGAGTTCCCTCGCAGCACTCCATCCCAGCACCTCTCCGGTGCATCATTTTACATTGACTTCTTCCCTCTCGCACCTCGGGAGTAACCAAGCAAAAGGGGATTTTCACACTGCCTCACAAGAGGGACATAATCATGATTCAATTCCTCACTCTCCCAACTTTTTTTTTTTTTTTTCTACATAGTTTTTCTAATAATTGTATCAGCTGAGAATTGGAGCTTTCTTCCCCCTCTCATTTCTAGTAACCAGAATCACATTCACTTTTTTTTTTTTTTTTTTTCCTCCCCAGAATTAATACCCTGGAGATGGGAAAGGTTTTCTATAGTGGTTTTCACTTCCATGTAAGATTTGAACAATCACTGGTGAGTTAGCTTTGACAGGTGTTAAAATATCTTGGAGCAGGCTGAACATTCATATTGATTAACTAATACATGGGCAGAGTTTTTTAGAACTGATTGTTTTTCTCTAAGCATTTTAGAAGGAAGTGGAGAAAATGTGCTGTATTGTCAATTTCTTTCTAATCCATTTTCATGTACTGTACTCCGTGTTCATCTAGTTTAACTACTAAGCTGTCAAAGACCAGAAAACAGTGAATAATGTAGTTATGTGCTTATTCAGAAGACTGAATCCCTCCATTGCAGCTGTTTATTCATAATATAATTAGGCAGAAATAACAGCTTATGTAAAACTTAATAAATTCCTGGGAAGGTCCTAACTGATTAATATTTTTCTACCAGCTTGTCTGATAGAAATGCCTTTTCAAAATGGAAAACTTTCAAGTTTTCAATTATTGGTGTCCCTTTGCCTCATTGCTATGACTAAGTAGTATTAGTCAACACAAGCCAAAAAGATTTATCTGGTAATCCAGATACGTGACTTGCTGTGTTTTATACCTCAATTGTGACATGGTTTTCAGTGAAAATGCTCAGTGTACAAGGGGTGCAAGATAAGCTCCTGTTAGGAGATAAAACTTTAAATGCTTAAAAATCTGTGCCTTAAATTCACAGATGTCAACAATTTAGCAGGGCCTGATCCTACTATTGAAGTGTTCCTTGTGATTTAAAAAGATGAGACTTCATCTTACGACTGGTGAAGGAAGTGCTTGTTTTGATTATTAAAGTGAATTTTAAATGGTTCAGTGCGGAGATAGTCCATAGCCAACCTCTCAGTTTGGTCTCCAATGTGCAGAAAAAAAATCTAAGATATTGTGATCCATTTTGCGCATACCAGTGGTAAATTTCTCTAAAGACAAAAATTCTAGGATTTCAGGGCCATGCAGGAATCATGTTACCAAAGCCACCTCCTTCAAAAGATGCTGCATACTCATTTCTAAGCAAGTACATCCTCTCCTCTTATATGCCAGCACCTGTCTGTAATGTAAGAGCCAATTCCTATTTGAATTGCTAATACCAAATGTATATGTATTGCATGGCATAAAAACCAGAGCTATCACTAGACAAAACATCTGTCAGGAGTGATTGTTTTATTTTTAATATTCTTTCTGCCTGCATCTAAAGGTGCCCAGCAGCCAGTGCAAGGTCGTCTCCCACAAACTCTGGGGCAAATTGTCCTGGTTTGAGTTAGGATAGAGTTAATTTTCCTCCTAGAAGCTGGTAGGGTGCTATGTTTTGGATTAGGATGAGAAGAGTGCTGATAACATGCTGATGTTTTAACTGTTGCAGAGCAGTGCTTACACCAAGCCAAGGACATCTCAGCTTCTCACTTTGTCCTGCCAGCGGGCAGGCTGGGGGTGCAGCAGGAGCTGGGAGGGGACAGACCCAGGACAGGTGACCCAAACTAGCCAAAGGGGTATTCCATCCCATCTGGGGTCATGCTGAACAATATATAGGGGTGGCTAGCTGGGGGGGGGGCAGCTGCTCAGGGATAGTCTGCTCATCAGTCAGCGAGTGGTGGGCAATTGCATTGTGCATCACTTGTTTCATACACATTAGTAGTAGTAGTACTATTATCAATATTATTGTTATTACTATTATTATTTTCCTGTCTTAATAAACTGTCTTTATCTCAACTCACAGGCTTCACTTTCCCGTTTCTCTCCCCCATCCCAGAGAGGGAGGGGGAAGGGTGAGCGAACGGCTGTGTGGTGTTTAGCTGCCGGCCAGGTTAAACCACGACACAAACAAACAGACTTGTTGTATCTGTGCTGCACCTCCAGTATTGCCCTCACTAGATGGTGGGAAATGTTCCTTTTCTCAAGGAGAGAAGACCTTTTCCCTGCTGCATGAAACTCATTCTGACAAGCAGAGGTGAAGGCTATTCCTTCCACAGAAAGGTAGAAGAGAACCAGTGAATTTTACAGTACTACACATAATTAATACCTATTTCACCTCATTCTCAGCACGTCTTACAGAGCAACTCTTTTCTTAGCTTCACGACTAATAAATCCAAAGCTTTTTCCTGTCTTTCATATATTTCCCTTTAATGCTAGTACCGAGTTCCTATTACACTCTAAGGACATCTTCTAACTCAAATTAGAAGTTTACGTTCTCAAGTTGTGTGTGTATTGAAGTAAACAGTTCTTAAAGATTAGTTATTAATTTTTAACTCAGGAACATTAAAAAGTAATGAGAGGCTTCTCTGGGCCACCCTTCTGTGGTGTGGTTTCAGACTACTTCTAAACTTGTTTGGGGTTATTTGGGTTTTCCTCTTCTCAGGACTGATCCAAACAAAACACTTCAATGTACTTACGCAAGCCAGAGAAATATTTTCACTGAGGCATGTATGGATGTATGACTGTTACACTACAGTCAGTGCAGCAAAGCTCCAACTGGCCTTTTTATTTTAGTTTTTCTCTCTAATTTTATGCCTTAGATCATTAAATAATTAAACAACGAGCTACTCACTCTTTATGGCTATTCACAACAGCAACTTTTAGGACAGAAGGCAGGCAGCAGTAAGGACTCCAGGAGGGACTTGTGTTTCACTTGTACATGAAAGCGAGCAGGAAAATTCTGGCCTTATTTAGGCTATTTTAAGCCTTGAACAATATCACTGATTTTAATCCTATGCCTCTGGATTTACATTGCCATAACAGATTTTAAAAGTCTCATTTCCCTTTTTTACTACCAAGCAGGCTAACACTGGAGCTAGCATGAACTCACTTCTGGGTTTCAGAGCCCTGTGAAACAGAAACCTAGACCAAAGCCATAAAAGAGTTTACAATTCACAAGGATAAAAAGATAATGCAGTGTTTTTTTGAACCACACGTTTTTATTTTTTTAATTTGTATTTTTAAAAACACACTTTGGAATAGAAAAGACTTTTATTATCTGTAATGCATAATAAAGTCATATCAAGTGAAAAGGCTGAGACAATGTCAGAAGAAGCCCTTTGTTTTTATTTCCTTACATAATCCGTACATTTAGTTTTTCCAGATAAGCATTAAATTGATATACTTCTTTCCAGAAATCCCTCACTTATTTTTACATTAGTTGAAGTTACAATGCTCTTAGCACAATCTGTGGTAATTTTGTTAATATTAAGCTTTGCTGCATTACCCTGTAGGTCTTTTGTCAAGTGTGAGGAGCCATTTGCACAATTTCATCTCGAATTTTCAGATATAGAATATAACTATATTTTCCTCTTTGAAATACTAGGAAATGATATAAGAAAAAAAAATAAAAATAAAGCTAAATCTACTCAGGCTATAGCCAAGATTCTTATTTAATCCTGATCTACAAATAGATTACTGTACAAAGTGCCCTGGCCTCTGCAGAAGGACATGGGGCTGCAAGAATCCTGCAGTCTTCAGCACCTCCAGCAGCAGCAATAAGGGGTGTTATATATGGAGTGGTAATTCGTGTTGAGAAAATGGTTGATATTAATAAAGAAGGGGGAGATTTGGGAGTGTGGCACAAAGGCCACTCCCAGTGAGGGTTGGAAAGCCCCGTGGTTGAGATAACATTAGACTCTTAACGATGAGGCCATCAGGAATATAAAAGAGTTTAGAGGGAACAAA